TTTGGATGCTATCGTCAGGCCAATCGTGGCCAATTGTTTCATGCTAGATGCAATCGTCAGGACACGATTGGCCTGACAATTGCGTCTAGCATGAAACAGACTGTCGCCTCTAAGTGTTGACTTCTAAGTTCACTTTTATATTTACACACTCTATCTCTGATATTGAGCACTTTATCCCATAAATATAGCACATCTTAATATATATATTTATATATATATATATATATATATATATATATATATGATATTAATGCTTAATTAGTAAATGCTTATACATACACATGCACACACATATATATATACACACACGCATACACACACACACACATATATATGTACAAGCACACACAAAGATATTCATATATGTTCACTGGTCTGTTATTTCGTTTCTTAGTTAGGTTTGGTGGTGTCATAAGTATTAATTGAACGAGTTTAGATTTATAATTAAATTTATTTATTATTGCTAGAATTTATGTGCATATGTGCGTATTTCTACGCTTATGTATATGCACACGTAGAGTTCTATTCGCGCGCGTATATAGGTATAACATCCAGATATATATAACATCCATATATATATATATATAGATATATATATAATGCACACTTGCACATACGTACGTAAACATAATTTTAAATGGTGTATATGTAATTAAAATAAGTGTATTCTTATATGTTATCGCTTATATTTTATTTAATGTTTCATTTTATTTTTATTTAATGGTCAGTAGTTTATTTGTTTTGCCTTGATATTAATTATGGCGGGTTAGGCTTGTTCATTTTTTGGTGTTTATGTATTTGTGCGTTTGCTGTGTACATGTCCACATATTCGCTTTTTCTCAGGGCAGATTCATATGTTTTTTTATTTTCATTGAATATTTTTAGGCTTCTAGAATTTGTGGTAATTCTTTTATATTGTTATTTGTTTAAATAAGTTAAGTGGGTGAATACAGTTTTTATTAATATATATAGGGCTGTGGTTTAGCTTTCTTTATGGTTTGTAGTTTCCATTGTTTACTTTGAATGTTATATCTAAGAAATTTACTATTTTTTATTTGTTTTTATCTCTATTGTAAATCCTAGTGTTTTGAAAGATGTTATTTTTTTTCTTTTTTATCTAGTTTTGCTGTTTCACTTTCTTAGAATTAATAGTCCGTCATGCTTGTATAGACCTATATCGTTTTTCTGAATAATATTTGTTAATTTATTGATTATGTATATGAATATGAGTTCGCATTTCTGTGCGATCATAGCTGCCCATTGTTACGTCAAAGTTATTATTATTATTATTATTATTATTATTGTAATTATTTTGGACCATTTTGTTCATATTTTTATTGAGGTATAATATTGATTTTCGGTAGTGTTTAATTATATATATATATATATTATTAGGGATATTGATGTATTATTTTGCTAAGTCATTGTTTAGTGTATGATTGTGTGAAGGATTTTGTTACTAATGTTACTGAACCAATTATATATATATATATATATATATATATATATACATATATATATATATATATATATATATATATATTTTTATATAAAAAAAATTTATGTATATATTAATTTTCTTTGGATTTTCTTCAAAATCTTACATCAAATCATAATAGATATATGGTGATAACGGACGTTTTCATAAGATAACCTCCACCAACTACTATAAGACTCTCTCCAACCAGCAATTTATAACCAGTCAAGCCAATACAGTTCATAAACCCCAAACTGTCTATATGAGCCTATTTTAGACAATAAATAAAAGCGAGAAAAGTAACTTATTCAATAGTGCCACGTAATTCGAAACGACCACAATGCTCTATATGAAAGATTCTTCCCTTCAACCTGAACTTGGTCAAAAGATATTTTTTCTTCGAGACTACTCTATATTAAATAATAAACATCTATATTACAATTTTCTTATTTCTCAGTCAATACTAGTTGACAATTATCTTAGCTTAACAATATTTACTTTACAATTAGCTTTGTATATAATTATTTGACAGTTGGCTTGGTATTTACTTTCACTTGATAAATAGTTAAATGTCTATTTGCAAATAGAGCTTGTCTTAGTAAATAACTATTTTCGTTAAATCTAACTAACAGATTGGCTTACAGCTTAGGTTGGATTCATGTGTAACTATTTGAAAAACAAATAGTACGCAAATATCTATTTGACAATTATCTTGAGTACTTGATTATTGTGCGGCTTTGAATATAACTATTTATCAGTTATCAAGGTATTTTGGCTTCGTAAATACTCATTCGGCAATTACAAGACTACGGCAATGGAACATGTCATGAGAATTGGTAACATTAGTAAAGGTCTGTAATATTTGACTAAGTTTAATTTCAAATAACTGATTAATCCGATTTTCTTTTAATTACAAGGTGAACGTTTGTTCTTCGTTGTCGCAAAATTGTTATATATCTTTTTCTGTATACGGACTTGTTTAAAGAATTTGTCTGATCTGAAGAGTTAAGTCAAAATGAATTCTTATTCTCCTTGACCTTTGTTAGTTTGTCCTCTGGCCACTCCACTTGACCCTCTAATGACCAAGTCATTCTTTTTTTCTCATGTCTCCAACCAAAAGAATCAACAATTGATGACACAGTAACATTTCATTGGATGGTCATTGTTTCTTGCTTTAAGTGCTTCCCTAATTAGTCGTACGGATAAAAGAAGCTAATAAAATAGAATAAAAAATATCATCATTTATTTTGTTGGGAAATAAATCAAGATTGTTTTTAATTTATTTCTGCTCTTCAATTCTTGTGAAGAGTATCTTTTTTATTGTTGCTTTTATTCTTGCTGTATTTCTGAAAGCAAATTGTCCCAATTAATGAATGAAGACAGAAACAAATGACGACATTGGTACTCTAAGAAAGAACCTTATTTTGTTTGGCTCTCTAAGGTGAGGGTAAGAGCATATATATATATATATATATATATATATATATATATATGTATGTATGTATGTATATTATCATCCACAGACAGACTGTTACGAAGCTCATCAGTGTGGCTAGACATCCGATCGAAACCCGACTGATTTGGTATCAGTCGGAGACTCTTCTGCGAAACCATTGTCGCACGGCAGGGATGAAGGTGAATTTTCACGTATTTATTTTTAGGTAAACACGCCCACTATGTATTGTCTCCGAGAGTAAGCGTTCGTGTCGTACGTGTTCGTAATCTCGAAGACAATTAGATAAACGCCTTAAAGCTATCAAAACTCGAAGACAAAGTTCCGTACATCGGCAGGTTTATTGATAACCAAACGGGTAACAATAATAGAATAGAAATAAATACATGTAAATAAGACTAGTTAGACTGAAAATACAAACAAAAAACTTTGACTAGAAGTAACAAAAGCAGCCGGAGGTTTGAACATAAATCTGAAACGATTTTTCTAATAAATGGATAAAGATGATAGCGAGTACTTCGTATATACGTGAATAATACGTATAAAGTTTGTCGCGAGAATGCAGACTCCATGTTGCAGTGAGTTCACAGAAAAAGAAGTTAAGAAAGTTTCTGCAACAGTGCAAGAGGACACGTGTTGAAAGGGTTTTACAAACGTAAAATAAATCTAGGAAATAAGGTTACATTAAACAAATGTTCAAATAATATGACGGAAAGAAAATAAACAAATGTAAGGAGAAGGTCGACAAAAGCGTCAAACCGATGATGGTTAACTTGGGGATGAAATCAGGAGGAGAAAACTACCGATTACATGTGGTACCACATCATCCTCACTCTTGCTCCCTATGCGGCCTCCTTCGCAAATGATTTGCGGGTCTTAAGTGCCACTTAAGATTATCGCACAAAATTCATAATTGAATCAATTGCTTAAGTTGCCAGCTCCTCATACGTCGAGACCGACGGGAGAGTCTATTAATATATATATATATATATATATATATATATATATATATAGAGAGAGAGAGAGAGAGAGAGAGATTTAATTTTAAGAAGAATAGAATAATGTTAATGAATTATTTTCGATTGACCATTTAACACTGTTTTATTGGTGGGGAATTATTACGTGAGATTCCATTGGAAGCGTTTAACTTACTTCATTCTAAAATTTGGGTTGGTTATCTTTTCCGAAAATACATGTGTGGTAAAATAATATTATTATAGTTATCTGCCCTTATTAAGGGATTATTCCTCCTTCATAGAAGAGTTCTAAAATCGCTATCTTTGTTTACTACACCTCTTTTTGAGTTGAATAAAACCTGAATCGCCTTATCAGTCACATCTTTCGCCACAATTTCTTCAAATCAAAAATTATTCAAAATGGACAAAGTATTAAAACCGGAAATATTCAGTCTGGACCCCAATTCACCAATCGCCGCTAAAAAGTTGAAATTTTGGTACCGTACGTTCGGAAACTATCTGCACTTGATGTAACACTGGATAAATTCAGTGACTTATTAAGTCACATAGACCGGACTGTGTATGACTACATAGAAAACTGTAATACATACGAGGAAGCCATACAAATACTAGAAAATCAACGAACGAGATTTTTGCGCGTCCCCTTCTCACATGTCGTCGCCAGAAACCTGATGAATCAATCGACTAATTCTTACAGACACTGTGTAAGTTGTCTAAAGATTGCAACTACAAACCAGTAACCGCAGAAACTTAGGGAGAGAAAGCCATTCGTGATGCATTCATAAACGGTCAGGTCTCTAATCTTATTCGACAGAGACTCCTGGAGAATAGAACGTTGGACTTGCAGAATGCTTATAACCAGGCTTGTTCTCTCGACCTTGCACAAAAAATGCTGTTGCATTTATCCAACAGGATTCATCCGCACCGACCATGAGTGCAGGTGCTAAAGAAACGAGACCATCTGCAGAAGCCATGTTAGCCCTGACCAATTCACAATGTTGGTTTTGTGGAAATCTACGTCATCCACGAATCAAAATGTCCTGCAAAGCAAGTTATCTGCCATAAATGTTCCAAAATCGGACATTTTGCAAAAATGTGCCACTCAGTCAAGTCCAGTCCTCAGTCAGCTGCAAGTGCCACTGCAGTTCACTCAATGTCGATCAATAACAGCCCCATACTTACAAGTATTTATTCTGCTGCTACTGAATCTGAATTTAAAGTAATCCACTAATTTACTCATGAAAAGACAAAAATTGAAAACCCTAATTAACAGTAGAAGCATTGACAAGAAGTTTCATAAATCATAAATTCGCCAAAAGGCTTAAATTGAAAACAATACCCAAGCTCGGGATCAATCCACATGGCTGAAGGAACACAGATCACAAAAATTGCACGATATTGTATTGTGGACCTCAAACTTCTTAGACGTGAGTACACAAATGTTCATCTAAATGTAATTAGTGATTTGTGTACTGATATAATCCTTGGAATTAATTTTCAAGAGCAGCATGAAAGTGTTGTTATTAAGTATGGGGGCAGCAAACCAACATTAACCTTTTGCGCCCTTAAAACTATTAATATCAACACTCCGACCCTATTCGCTAATTTATCTGCAAACTGCAAACCCACTGCAACCAAACCGTGAAAATTTTCAAGACCTGACCAATACTTCATTGAATCAGAGACACGGCGTTTACTGAAAGAAGGGATCATTGAACCAAGCCTGTCACCATGGAGGTCACAATCTTTAGTTGTAAAAGAGGACGGAAACCATAAAAAAGAGAATGGTCATTGACTATTCGCAGGCAGTCAAAAAATATACACTGCTAGATGCGTACCCAATGCCCAATATTGAGAGTACTGTCAACCAGCTAAGCCCAGTACAAGTACTTCAACACAATAGATTTAAAAAGTGCATATCACCAAATCCCGCTGCATCTTGATGCCTTATAAAGTTTTCCAATCCGTGGGTCAGCTCTACCAATTTACCAGGATGCTATTCGATGTAACCAATGGGACTGCTTTTTTACAAAGAAAGATGGATGAATTCACCAGCAAACATGATCTACAGGACACGTATGCCTATGTTGACAATCTTATAATCTATGACATCACATTGGAAAAACATTTTGTCAACCTTCAACATGTCCAAAAGGCTGCCAAACCGGACAACTGGAAATACAATGAAGAGAAATGCAAATACTCTGCCCAGACAGTTGATCACTTGGGATATCGCATATCCGAAGGGATTTTCAAGCGTCTGCGGGTATTAATGGAACTCTCTTCCAACCCCACAACCTGAAGTAATTTGAATGTATCATTGGAATGTTTGCATATTGTGCAGTGTGAATCAAGAAATTTTCTGAAAAACCCAAAATTAAAATCAACACACACTTTTCTACTATTAGGAGGGGGCTTGTTAGTCCTCCAAACACTAAAAACTAACCTGATAGATGCCAGACTGTCTGCAATCAGTGATAATCTGATATTTGTTGTAGAAACCGATGCATTACATAGCTCTGTGTTAGCAGTACTCAGGACAATCAACCAGTTGCCTTTTATTCAAGATCACTGTAAGGCAGTTAGTTAAACTATGCACCGGTAGAGAAAGAGGCCCTTGCAATAGTTGATACTGTCAAGAAATAGAGGCACCTCCTAATTGGTAGACATTTCATTCTAAAAACTAAGCAGAAGTTCGTGCGATTTATGTACAATGCGCAAAATCATGGAAAAATAAAAAATGAGAAAATTCTATGCTGGAGAATCAATCTTGCTAATTTTAGCTTTGATATTCAGTACCGTGAAGGTAAAAAGAATGTGACAGAAGACACTCTCACAAGAACCAGTTGTGCCTCCTTCCCGGATAACAAACTGTTATGGTTGCAGGAATCCCTGTGTCACCAGGTGTAACCAGAATGATACACTTTGTTCGAAGTAAAAAGTTATCATACTCTGTTGAAGAAATCTGAACGATGACAGCCAACTGCCAAACATGCAACATAATTAAACCAAATTTCCAAAAATCATCTAATCTACACCTAATCAAAACCGCTTAATCTTCTTTTGACCATCTGAGTATCGGCTTTAAAGGTCTACTATCTTTATCATCTCGCAACAAATATCTGTTAACCATCATACATGAACTTTCCAGGTTCATTTTTGCTTACATGAAAGCTAAAACTGTAAATAGCTGCCTGTCCAATCTATTCTTCATATTTGGCATGCCCGCTTACATCCAAAGTGACAGGGGATCCTCATTTCTTTCACAAGACACAAAAAACATTCCTACGCAATTACGGAGTTGTCACTAGTAGAACTACTCCTTATAATCCAGAAGGTAATGGCCAAGTAGAAAGATACAATGGCGTCATCTGACAGTCTAATTCTAGCACTGAAAACCAAGAACCTTCCAGAATCACACTGGGAAGAAGTTTTGTCTGAAGCTTTACATGCTAGTCATTCATTGTTGTGCACTGCAACTAACTGCACGCCACATGAACGACTATTCAAGTTCAACAGACGATCAACTAATGGGTCCACCTTACCCGCATGGCTAAGTCACCCCGGTAAAATATTGATGAAATGATATCCCCGGAATAGAAAGCACGAACCACTGGTCGATGAGGTGGAACTCCTGGAAGCAAAACCACAATATGCCTACATCATGAAATTAGATGGTAGTGAGGCCACTGTCTCACTTAAACATCACGCCCCAAAAGAAACTGGGGACAGAAGCCTTACTAAATTACCACAGGTTCATATTCCCATGGAATTACCAATATCAACCCAGCCAGGAAATCAATCTCCGAAAGACAGTGTCTATCCAACAAACTATGAAAGATTCTACAAAAGGATATATAAATAGCCCACAAATGCTGCGTCGTTTTAATCGAGTTGTAAAACCCCCCAACCGTTTAGACCTTTAAGGACATAATTTTATTTATTTTTTATCGCAATGCGTGTACACGTAATTTCTTTTCTGCTACGGCGGTGATTGTGGTAAAATAATATTATTATTATTATAGTTATCTGGCCTTATTAAGGGATTATTCTCCCCTCATAGAAGAGTTCTAAAACCGCCATCTTTGTTTCCACGTCGTGTGTCTTTTTGAATTGAATAAATCCGAATCGCCCAAAGCTATTTTCTTCAGTCTCATCATTCACCACATGGTCATACAGTTCTCAAAGAGATGTGTAGAAAGCTATTATGCCCAGAAGAGAAATGGCACATTATAAAAAATATGTGAAATGTCGTAGGAAACTTCTGCATTTCAAAAGAAATAGAAAAACTGGTGTCAACTTTTAGGTCTTTCTTTCAGGAAAACAGAAGTTGTCTCTTTCGTTATTGTAAATTTCTAGGTAAAAAAAAAAGACATTCTGAAGTAGACTAAGTGCAAAATAGCAACATCTTAAAATCTAAAATTAGTTATCAAATCATTGGTAGAGGATTGAACAACTAAAAAATGTAATATCGTAGCCCTTCGCTATTCCGTTCACGTGGTCATGGCAGACTCAATATTTCTTCAAGACCTTGGCCTTTTTCTTCGTTACGTCATCCCACTATGCACCCGTCTATCCAATATAAGTCTATTTAGATTTATAATCAACCTAATTTCTCTTTAGTTGCTTGATTATTATTAACATAATCTAAATACTCTTTCTATAATACTTTTTTTATACTTCGTGGCAACTCGGGATTTCTTTCTTTTAGATATTAAGTATGCAGCAAGTTATCGTACACCCTTGTCATATAACCTGGTGGTTTTTCTCCGACAAAGGAGGAAGTATAAGAACACAGGCCGCTGGTCCTTGTGACGGGTTCTGTATTAAGTTACAGCCCATTTAATTTTGTCTGCCAACTGGACGCTAGTTGGAAACTTTCCTGCCTATTCTTACTACTGGCATTTTTTACCTTTATTGCTTTCGGCTATCACAGCCCTGAACTCCCGGCTAAGCATTGGTCTTTACTTCCGGCATTCCTTTTTCACCCTAACTCGACTGGTTTCATAGGAAGTTGCTGCATGCATATTGTCCAGACTTCAAACTTTTCCGTACACTTGGATTAAATACCAAGGAAGATTCATCGTTGGACTTAACTAGCAACTACTCAACGCTTTCACCAGACATTTAAGCTGAGCTTTCGAACTATCGTTTTTCATGCCAACTTACTGGACTCCATTACATTTTGTAAGTTATATTATCTTTGATCTTCTAGCCGGTCAGTATTCTGCCATTTACTTACTGTAATTCCTCATGTATAATACGCATTTTTTCTAAAAAGTAATAAGCAAAAATAGGGGTGTGTATTATGCACACCTACAAAATCTTTTTTTTTTAAATTGCCTTTTAATAGGTCGATTTCAGTTGCGAAATGACTACTCACCACAAACATACGACAATTTGACACCAACATTCGGCAATTGCGACCCTATAAGGATGTCAAATATAATCATATTTATCTAACAATATGTACAAATGTAAAATAAAATAAGAATTATCATAAAACTAAATTAGAATAATATTATTCTATGTTTAAAACCCTTTTTTAATAAACTTAGGAAACGCTGGCCATAATGATATTGGAGAGGTACAATTTATAGGGTTTGATTACAAAACAAAGAGTGCGTATTATGCGTGAGCAGAAGCATTTTCCCATACTTTCAGCACAATTTTAAGGGTGCGTATTATGGATTAAGACGTATTATACATGGGGAATTACAGTAATGCTTCTTCCATTTATTTGATTCATTGTATGTCCATGTTCCTTTAAACGAAACACTACTTTTGTATGTTATGTAAATAAATTTTGCATGAATTTGAGTATCCTTGTCTATTTTATTTTATATTTCAGACTTCACGTCTTTATGTGGGCCTCCCGTGACTCATACTTATTGGGGCGCACAGCCCATATATATAATATTTTATATCGCACCATCTTCAGGGAGTCCACTACAGTAACAATATATTGCAGGAATCCTTCTACTTAGGTTTTTATTAAATATTAAAATTTGGAGTGTCGGAATTCGATACACTAACATAAAATATTGTTGCAGGACTGCTCTTAATTCATCCGTTTAGAATAATCCCACGATTTTCCTTGAAAGTATAAAATCCAGTAGAAAAAGACAACGTGGTATCAACAAATTAATTTAATATAACGACAGGAATACAAGAAGTTGGTTATAGATTATTAAGTAACATCTTTTTGATTTGCTTAATAAAGTTCTGGAATAGAATATAACTGGTATTTGTGTACGTATGTGAGAAACAGTGAAATGTCGTTATGTGTGTCTTTGTGTGAAAATGTCAGTACGTGTGTGCGGGCTTAGTTGTCACGGGTGTTACAAGAGATAGTTTTTACTGTGAACTGTGTTGCCGTAGTTTGGAGCGGTCTCTTTGTAGTTTTCAACGCAGTAGCCTATTGCGTGTGTACTTGAATCAGGTCTTGAAGATAAACAGCTATAGTGACGTGGACCTTGATGACATTTGTGCGTTTTATGTTTGGGGGTTGACTTCCTTCTGAGTTTTATAAACTTTTTCCTAAAAATATCGGATCCAGATTTATATTATTTATTTCTTCCTAATTTACCTTAAAAATCCACGTGGTATGTCTTCTACTACGTCCGCAAGATATTTTGGAAGTACCTACTTAAATCATGAAGAAATATTTTAATAAATATTTTAGCGGACATGACATATTGAAATATATTTCATTTGAGGAGGGTTCTTTCTTTTGTATAATAATATATTTGCGATCTTTCTTTACAGTATGTGCTATATAGAATTATCTATAGTATTACCTACTAATATTTATCTTATGTTAATAGTTCTATTTTGGGTGGTTGTGATGTGGTGATTGATATCCATAACTTAATATTTAACCGACGAGAGAGTATGGAGCTTGTATGATGTAGTGTTTCAAAACTTAGTTACCTGCTCTTGACTCGCGTATAATTTATGTACATGCCAAAAAGTAAGATATACCTCACATGACAGTTTAGCAAGAGGCGCAAAATAGAAGTTATCTGGTCAGTTGTTGCCAGTTTATCAGAACGATATTTTTCTTTCGTGGTTCAGGGCGTAGCCACATTACCGACGTAGTGGATGACTAAGTCAAATATCAAGTAAGACCTTATTTCAAATTCTTTTTCTATGTCTTCTAGTATGTGTTTAGTTCGTTGCAAGAACAAACTATTGTCTTATTCTATTTTCTGGAAATATGTAGAGAAACACAGACACCCACACCTACAGACACACACATACACACACACACACACACACACACACACACACATATATATATATATATATATATATATATCAATGAGTGCATGTAAATATAAAAGTGAACATTCAGAACAACACACGGCGGCAACAGTCTGTTTCATGCTTAAAACTTCAGCCCATTTGTGTTTGTGTCTTGGCTCGACTATTTATATATGCTGGTCAATGACACATTATAGGTAGAAGGTCTATTGCATTATTAGTGTTTTTATTCAATACATACCCACGAACGTGCACATCACACACACATACACACACATATATATATATATATATATATATATATATATATATATATATATATATATATATATATAGGTAACTACACGTCTCAGAAAACCTTCGGTTTCTTGCTTTGCTAATGATCAAATCAATTTCCCTGACGTTTCAGCTTAGGTGAAACCTTGGTAGGTTTGTCTGGCTTTCTAGGTTTGACTATATATATATATATATATATATATATATATATATATATATATATATAAAATGTATGTATATATATATATATATATATATATATATATATATATATATATATGCAATTTTATATTATTTATATATTATATATGCGGTACTTGGAAAGCGCTCAATATCAGTGATAGAGCTAACATATTTAGTTGGATTGAGGTGAGTCTGTGATGCTGGGTTTCCCGCTATTTGCGATCGTCAGACAAACTGATTAATTCAAGTCCACTCATTGACGCACGCTCACCCACTGGAGCTCACACAAACATGAACAGTGTGGGACTGGGCATATATGCGCATCCATATGTCGTTGCGTACATACATACGCAAACGGTCGCTGTATTCAATGTTGGATTGTGCAGCGAACATCTTTCGTCAGTTGCGTTCGTCCGCAATTGGTCGCTGTATTCAACTATATATAAATCCAAAATTTAAAAATTAATCAGATTGTCTGACGATGGCAAATAGCGTGAAACCCAGGGTCACAAACTCGTACCAGTCTAACTAAATATATATATATATATATATATATATAGGTAAAAATATCCGTGGGTAAGTAATGCAAGTGGATCCTATTAATATAAAACATTATCTGAAACTGATCCACAAAGGAGAGCTCAATATAATTTTTTATTATAGGTCATATAAGTTAATTACAATTAATGACATCCAAACAATTTACCTCATACAGATGATCATTTTGTCCATGTAAAAGTAGTTTTTTCCCTGGATTATCAAGGCAAATACATTTACTAACATGAATAAAACGTTTCTTCACATGAAATTTGAAAGGCAAAGTAAGTAAAGAAAGAAAACAGAAAAAAGAAAGAATAAAAGGAGGGGAAGTAAGAATTGATCTATAATAGAGGAGGAAGTTTTATAGATAAAGAGGTTTAATTAGTATAAGTATGATATAATTTAAATTATAAACTTAGTATTTGGAAATTATTAATATTATATTGATATAATGAGATTGGTTGTATTTAAATGAAATTAATATATTAATTATTTACTTAATTATTTTACTATAACTTTTACTTTATAGTTAAAGATATAATATTAACATCATTTTATAATAGTATTAATTTTAAATTCTTACTCCCATTCTATAATAATTTTAAGCTCCTCTCTAAAATGTTTCATAGCCTTTTTTCATTCTTCTTCCTTGCATAGGTGTTGATAGGTCAGTGTCCATTTTCAACCGTCGCCTTTATCTGTACCCGGCTCCACCACAACCACATTAGATCCCTTAACCCTCTTTATCTATATAACTTCCCCCTCTGTTATAGGCCAATTATTACTCCCTCTCCTTTTTCTTTTTTCCTTCTTTCCTTTCTTTGCCTTTCAAATTTCCCGTGAAGAAACGTTTTATTCATTTTAGTAAATGTATTTGCATTGATAAGTCCAGGGAAAACTACTTTCCCGTGGACGAAATGATAATCTGTATGAGGTAAATCGATTGGGTCTCATTAATTGTCTCTCTATATCCCCCACTTTATATATATATATATATATATATATATATATATATATATATATATATATATATCCCTCACCGGTGATTGATGATATGTATATTTATTAATATATACTGAATAGCTCTGTTTTATTACATTGAGCACTGTTTTATTAATATGCTATATATAAAATGAATATCTGGCAATTGTTTCCATTCGTAAAAATAATACGCTAGAATTTCCCTTCTCCTTTCCGTCTGCCATTTGCTGATAGCACAGAGATAGAAACTCCGACTGATTGCCAAATCCGTCAGGTTTCGATCCCGGCTTGAAGTAATCGGATGTCTAGCTGCACTGATGAGCTGTGATACAGCTAAACACGCCTGTATGTGGATGACATTGTGTGTGTGTGTGTGTATGTATATATATATATATAATATTGCCACCCATAAACTAAGAGCATACTAACATAAATTATGGTAACATAAATTTATCTCCACCGGCCAAGTTCAATGTAAAAGTTTACGTTGATTTCGATTATTAGTTTTGGAGATGCTATATCCCACAAGGTACATGAAATCACCAAAAAATTGTTTTTATTAAGTGGGGATTTTTGAGGACCCGGGTTATTGATAATGATTAGTTTAGATCAATACAGAGTTAATAAAGAAAAGAAATATGTGAAGAGAGACATGATTGCCTACGCCCTTAAGAAACATGGCATTTAAAAAAACTGAACGATGCTTTGTATATTTTATGTTTTTTTTCTTCATCTTGTCTATATTTTAGGATACATCTGATTACAGGAGAATACTTTAATGATGTTTTGCGTTTTCACTTTAGTTTATATCAAGATCGATTTTTGAGTCATTTTTCATAAAATCCTTTAAGGCTAAACCTATTTGATCTTCGATAACATGACTGAGAAAATTATTGCTGATAAGTTTGTTTTATATTGTTCAATTCTTTTAAAAAATAACTAAGAGAACATTCACTTTTGGAATTAAGAAAACAAGTATTTTTGCTTGCGGACTTTTTTTACTGTGAAGTAGTAAAATTGTGACTCTTAGCATCTATTAAACATCAAGATAAAAAATCCCATTAATATTGTTAAGTCCATAAGTGTAGGGCATAGTTTCCCTGCTAAGTTTTTTTTTTTTTTCATTTGGTCAAGGTTTTTCGTTAACATGAATGTAACCAATATATCGAACATATGTAATAGGTTTAGCAAAATTATTAAAGATTTTATGTTCTACATAGGTCCTATATAAATTGAATAAAGTAGGACCAAAAGGTGAACTCATAGCTACACCATTAGTTTGTGTGAAAATATTGATATACTTATCATAAAAAGGTACTTGTATCATATGGAAGACTGTAAAAATAAAATAATTAAACAGTGTCGGTTGAATTTAATAAAACTTGTTTTAATGATTTTTTTTCTGCCTCTCTTTATATATTCACACACAAACCTACAGACACACACACTGTATATATATATATATATATATATATATATATATATATATATATATATATATATATATATATGTGTGTGTGTGTGTGTGTGTGTGTGTGTGTGTGTGTGTATGGAATTTAACGTTGCGTGTTTGTAGTTGTGTTTTTGTTCACATATAAACAATTAAAGAAGAAACAATAAAAAATACTTCGGTTCCTAGTGCGGACCGTTTATTCTTTCTTTTTTAACTAAGTTCTCAATGTCTCTTGGATATGTCCGTTTTCTTTTTCTGGTTTAAAAGTAAGCTAGCGTAAGTAAGGATACGCTTAAGTCAGCCTTGCGCTGAGTTGGAACGACCCAAGTAAAGGCTGATCTTATTTCATCGGCAGTTATAATGGTTATGCCCAAGTGAGTTTTGCACTGAGTTTGAACGACCAAAGTAAAGGTTGAACTTACAACATGGGTGAAAGCTTCTATCAAAACATGCAAATGCGTTAGAAAGTGGAAAGAAAGTTCAGTCGTGAGTCGACTGGGGAAAAGAGACGTTTCCCAGCGGAGACGTCTTCAGCTACATGCTGGTAAACTTGAAGCAAGAGAAAGGAATGCTTGTTATAGAACTAAACAATGCTACTTAACGGGAGTTTAGCGATACCAAGTGAAGCTAATAAAATTGCGCAGATGACTAAAACTCTTTATGGCTCCTTTATTGTTAGTATAACGTTTTTATTCTTTTTTATTCTTTATTATTATTTTATTTATTGGTTTTATTTAATTTTCCCATATGTGTGTCGTGAGACACAAAATTTTACATATAGTACAATCAATCTCATTTAAAATATATTATTTAAATTCATATTTATATTATATATTTTTAAATTTATATTTATATATACTTACATTTTTTTATATATATTTATATTTTTTACATTTATACTAAAATTATTTACCTTTTTATATATACTTAATTTTTATAAATACTTACAAATACATATTCTAAATTTATATACACCTATATATATATTTATATATACTTACATTTTTATAATTTTTTATAAATTTATACTTGTATATACTTACATTTATATTTCATATAAATACATATATATATATATATATATATATATATATATATATATATATATATATATATATATATAATTAGAATATGATATTAGGCATCGAATAATTACTAATAATCCATTTCAGAAAGATTTTGTTCAATAGAGTAATATTATGGGAGCATAAAAGAGACAAAATAGGCAAAAACAAGATTACCTGTACGTTTCATCTTATAATTTTGTGGTTACTACTTCTAGCTCAACTAAATGTAGTGGCAACTATTTTTTTTTCAAGTGTAAATGACGAATAAAAAAACATTCCATTGTTTTAAATAACAACAATATATTTTCATCACCCTGGGAGAAGAAGCCCTACTCAGTGGGGATGCAGGTTTGTGTGTCGACACTACTTCATCTTAGAACAAAAGAAAGAAAAAGAAAGAGTAAGTTTTTATCCCTTCTTTTATAGTCCTTAAACATCGACACCTAGCAGCAGCTTGTAGACCAAGTGAGAGTAATCCCCACATTACTCCACTCAGATTGGCAAAAGTTTATTGCTAATATGTTCATAATGTTTGAATCTGTTCTGTTCTTTTCTAACAGGGAATATTTGAATTGTATGGTTGAGATGTAAGTGATTAACAAGACAACGGAACGATACTTGTTTAAATTATTGAGTTATCAGTGTATTTTAGCACGTTCTAATGAATCTGTTGATAGTGTGATTTTCGCGTTAAAGAGAGAGAGAGAAAGAAAGAAAAAGAAAGAAAGAAAGAGAGGGAGAGAAAGAAAGTGGGAGAGTGGAGAGTAGACCAGTGGTCCTTTGTAGCTATTAGAAAATCTGTTCGTTTTGCCAATCTTTCACTTGAAATTATTTAAAAAGGGTCCATTTGTAGTGAATTTTATTTTGCCGACACAAATGTACGATCTTCTTGAATGTTTCGAGTTGCAAATTTGTCGAGTTGATGCTGGTTAAATTGCTGCTGAGTGTCGAAGAATGTTTGATTCATAAATCTGGTATGACTTGATTTTTCAAAGTTTCTTGTGTCTTGCAGATATCTTGGTCGTTCTTGCAAATTTTTTTGAAGCGTCAATGAGTCGACAGTTGTTGGGTTAAATCGCATCAAACTAATTTAACTGTTTAATTTTTGTCAACTTGAAAGAGTTGAAAATAAACTTCTTTTGGGTTTGAGTGATACCCCATGTTCTTAGACATTTTCTTGTGTGCTCCGCGTAACATTTCTTTGCACTGTTTTCTGTACTTGTGAAAATAATTACGTTTTTAGCTGTTGTTGCTTCAAACTTGCCAGAAGAAAGTCGGTTCATTTTTTTTTTGTCTGATGAAAAGCCCCACGTGGTCAGTTAAGTTGTCTTTTTAGTGTTGAAGTGCTGTGTTTGACGAAAATTTCCAAGTGCCATTTCATGGAATATATTACTGCAACTCGTTTCGTGTAGAAAGTTTTGCGTATATTTTAGCCTGTTTTTAATCTTTTTACAGATAAAATGTTGATTTACTGAAATGTCCAGTTTCCGGCATGTTAAGTATATTTTTGCATAATTAATTTTTTTTCTTCAAGATAGAATAATTTCTCCTGGTTTCATAAATTTCCTTTGGCTTGACAGTGAAACGGGTGGGCCTGAAACAATAGTCATGGTTGAATTTTGATATATCTTCAGGAGGTAGAATAAAAAAAATTGTTTGATTATTACTAACATAATGTAAATAATCACAAACATTAACGGTCCGTTAATGTTGGTGACAACAGCAGTCGTAGAGGAAGGAAATGGTCGAAAAGTCAAGCATGAAAGGGTTAAGTAGTAGTAGAAATAGTAATAGTAGTAGAGTTAGTAACGTTATTTTTTTTTTTTTTGAATGTGTTGAATTTTAAGAAAGTTTGTTGATTTGAAAGTCCATCTTGTAAACGGGTTTACTTGTAGTTGAATTTTTGTATTTTACAATTCCTGATTGCGTCGGATTTTTCACCATTATTTTTCTTAGTATTAATTTTTGTGTCTGTTATGATCCAGAATGATGATGATATTTCGTCATTCTAAAAATAACCTCGCCATCGTTGATAATAGAAAATAAGGATATCCTCATCCCTCCGGAAAATCAAAAACTGTCGATCTCAAACATTATCCTCACCAACGAAATTCTCGGAACAATCAAACTTTTAAAGAAACAAAAGAGACCGTAACACAGAGAACATTTTTAACACACATAAGACAAAATTCATATCATGAAAAAGAAAAATACAAATTCTTGTTATTAATGTCAACACGTGTCTCGAGTATTGTTGTTTGTGTTATTGTTGTATTTTTTTATTTTCATTTTAAATATAAAAAAGAGAAAAGGATTCCTCCTACACTAAAAATACATATAGCCACAAGGTAATTGCTTTAACTAACTCAAAATCACCAACTTTTACACTCAACAAATAATATCACATTGAGATAAATACTCCATCACCACCAACTTATCAACCCGTTACATGTCCACGTGGTCTGGTTGGTTTATAACTTGGTGTAAGATGTTCTGTCACTAGAGATTTTATAACTTCTGGTCTGGAAAACTGCCGGAAAGGCGCATAGTTGTCTATCGACGAATTTTGTGTATTAATAGGTTAAGGAGTTCTTTGTTGGCAGAATATGTGTTCATGTTTCTGTGTTGAGATATTCCGTTAATCATTTTAATGAACAAACTATGATAGGATGTTGTAATAACATTTTCAGAATATATTATAAACAAAGTATAAGTAGATCCAGATAATGTTACTATCATTGATCGGTTAATACCAGTTTTATTGTATAAACATTGATTTTCAAAATAAAAACTGTCATCATGTATTCTTCTGGTCTTATTTTTGTTTATTTGTCGTTTTTAGTTTTTTTTATTTTTCTTTTGTCATTTCAGTCATTCTTTTTTTCTTTTTCTTCACTTTTAGTTTCTTTTGCCTTCAATCTTTTTCCTTTAAGTTTTCATTTAATTTTTTTTTAAATTTTCTCTTAAGTTTATTTTTTCAATTTCCTCTTGCTTTTTTTTTTTTTGCTTTTAATTTTTTTCCCGTAAACTAGCTCTTCCATTTCCACTTGAATTTTTTCTTTTAATTTTTCCTTCAATTTTTCCTTCAATTTTTTCCTTCAGTTTTATTTCAATTTTTCCATCAAATTTCTTTCAATTTTTTCTTCAATTTCTCCTTCAATTTTTCCTTCAATTTTTCCTTCAATTTTTTCCTTCAGTTTTATTTCAATTTTTCCATCAAATTTCTTTCAATTTTTTCTTCAATTTCTCCTTCAATTTTTCCTTCAATTTTTTCTTCAATTTTTTCCTTCAGTTTTATTTCAACTTTTCCATCAAATTTCTTTCAATTCTTTCTTCAGTTTTTCCTTCAATTTTTCTTTCAATTTTTTCCCCTCAATATTTTCCTACAATTTTTTCCTTCAGTTTGCAATTTTTCCCTACGATTTTCGTTCAATTTTTTCTCTCAGTTTCTCCCTTTTGTGATCTTCAATTTTTATTTCAGTCTCTTCCTTCTTTGACCGTTTACCTATTTTTATATAGTACAAACCTCAAGCACGTCCCCTGGAATTTTGAATAGCCCCTGTTAGTCAAATTCATTCCACTCTTAAAGTTGTACTTTAAAAAGTATTTTTCTTAAATATCTGTCTTGGTTGCCTTCAGTTAAACCTGTCAACCAGATACCCTCACCGACGCCAGAACTGAACTTCAAAATCATTTAGCTTTACAGCATTTAATCAGATTTAATGACAAGCTTATCAGCTTGAAGCATATAAACATGTGAATCTATATCAATTTTCTATGCCCTTTTCACAGTCTATGATCAAAACAGGCAACGATAAATGAAATAATCTCCCTTTCATTACCTTGAATAATTAGTTGAGAGTGAATTTCATCGATGTCTAATTGTAACAGTCATGAATTGGAATTGTCTGACCAGTGACAAGAGACATTGCCTTTAATATCCAGTTTGGAATGGCTTGACTTGACTTGGCCTGATCTCCATGAACAAGAGATTATGTGCTAATATGGTTATGGAATGTGATGGGTTCGGAGGTAGGGAGGAGGAAGGAAAAGGAGAAAAGAATGAGGTTGAAGGAGGGGGAAGTGTCAAATTTGAACACTTATCTAAATGTTAAAGACAAAGATGAATCTTCTCACAGCTGGACAGGATGGGGGCAGGCAGTACTGTTAATCATGTTGCTAATCAGAATGTCTTGCCTTTGTTGCTGTCATGTCACGGCTTTTCAAATAAGGTGTGAAGCCAATGATGAAGAAGGGGAAAAAGAAAGGAGATGAGAGAAGAAAGACGGGAAGAGATAGAGAGGGGTGTGATAAAAGAGGAGAAGGAGATAAAAAAAGGAAAGTGAAGAAGCTGGGAATAAAAGAATGAGGGAAGAAAAAGAAGAAGCAGAAAAAAAGAAAATGTCGTTATTGAAAGAGAATGAAGAAAAAGAAGATGAAATCATGTAATGAAGGAAGGTAAGTGAAGAATGAAGTTAGAAAAGAAGAAGAGATCGAAAGGTGTAAGAGAAGAGTAAAAATAAGAAACAGAAGAGAAGAAAAAAATGAAGAAGTCAATGTATAAGAAAGAAAGAGAGAAAGGAGAAAAAGAATGGAAGAGAGAAAAGAAGGACAACTGAAAAGAAAAAGAGAGTAACAAAGAAAATGAAAAAAGACAGAGACTAAACAAATATAAAAGAGGGATTAAAGAAGAAGAAAGAAAAAAAAGGGAAAGAAAAAGGATGAGAAAGAAAAGACCAAAATTTGAAATAAAAACAACATATTAGAATTTTAAACCTCAAAAACATTAAAAAGCCAACAGATACGAAACAAACTTACAATCAGTTTTTATTTGTACGCTGGCACAGATTTTGTCTTTTTTAATGTCATGTCTCTTCAAGATAGACAGCATCTTGGTTCATTACTCTTTTTCTATGTGCCATCCCTTCAGGATGCGGGCGATCATGGCTCTCCACAATGTCCTGTCCTTTGTAGCTCTTAATAAATTTTGTCTTTTTGTTATCGCTCTTAAAACTTGCTTAACCATAAAAATGTCTAAGTGTGTGCTAAAACGTTTTCAGCCTGATCAAGAAAGGGTTCCTCTCGACATTTTGATGCTTGGTCATTTGGTTAGATTTTAAGAAGTGGACTAGATAAAGATTTTCTCAGTAACTACTTTTCTTTTCACACCAAACTGAATCTATTTGAATATGTGTTAAAGAAAAATTGATAATTAGTCCAGTTATCACTAAGGCAGTGATTTCTTTCTTTTTATGTGTCATGTCCCTTCAGGACGAAGGTGATCATGGCTCTCCACTTCTCCCTATCCCTTGTAGCTCTCAATAAGTTTTGTCCTTTTGCTACTTCCCCCAGGCCATGTTCTGTCATCCACTTGCTTAAACCTGCCAGGTATGCTATGCATTACTTTCCTTTGTCTATCTTCCCCTCTATTCCACCTCTGAGTATCAGATTCTCCAAGCCCTCCTTTCTCATTACGTGTCCCACAAATTTCAGCTGCCTCTTCGAGATATTAAGCATAAGCTTCATCTTTGTTAGCATCCTTTCCAAAACCTCATTGTTACTCACACGGTCGGTCTAATGATATCCTTAGCTTCCTTCTGTAGAACCATGTCTCCGTTGCCTCGAGTCTCATCTTCATCTTTGAGGAAGCCATCCAACATTCGCTGCCGTAAAGGAGGATAGATATCACATAGCAGTTCAGTACTCTTTTCTTTGTTACCAAAGAAATCCCCCTGTCTTGTAATACTCTGCCTAGATTTTGGGGTGTGTCTTCGGCCATTCCAATACGTCTTCAGATCTCAGCGTCACACTTGCCGTCCTCTGTCAAAATACTTCCCAGATATTTAAATTTCCGCACCTGCTTGATTTTAGTGTCCCTGACCTAGAAACTGCATTTCGGGCTCATCCTTTTACTGATGACCATGCATTCTGAGCGGATGCTGTAAAGATATCGGCCCAAACAGGAAGGGGAAAACCTTGAGCCATGGAATGTATATGCTATTCCACATATTCACCCAGAAGTTTACCACACTTGGCACACCATTTCTCAAGTTTCCTTAATACTTCCAAAAAATATTTTTGATGGTGTATCCTTGAAATTGTGATTTTAGTAAGTGGGTCATATCAAGAATTTTTCAGTAGCCTCTTGTAATACCACAGCATATTCCCAGTTGATAATGAGAAGACAGAATCAAAATCTGAAGTTGGATGGAATAAAATGAAAAGTCTAAGAGAATACTGGTCAGTTCAAGTGTCAGAGTTTATTGGGATAAAAGATATCAACAATAATAAATACTATTTAAAAACATCTTACCTGTAGAATCCAGGAAGGTGGTAAAAGATGGTTATACAATGGCAAACTGTTGTTTCAGATTACATCTTACACCTACTTGGCTAGGAATGCCAATAACAAAGGCAAGGAGATAATGTCTCTAAAAAATAAGTAACTGCAAAATTTAACAGAATTTGTGACCACTGATTCTATTCAGTTGACATGAATTGAAACTGAAAAATATTATAATTAGTGAATCTAACCATTCAATGTAATGTTCATCCAAGTTCGATTCAAGAAGAGAAAGAGAATTATAATAAAGATTGTGTCAATAACAACAGAATCAAAATTTGGCCAGGTTCAAGAAGTTAGAGTTCCTGCAACAATAATCTGTTACTCTTAGAAAAGGCGAGAGTCTAGGCTCAAGCAGCAAACATGTCAGAAACTTCATCCTTCTCTACCAAAAACTTTTTGTCAGCCTATACCTGTCATTAGATGGGTGAATTTATTTCTGATACTGACAGACACACACAGTGATATTATGTTAATTTTGGGG